ATCTCTAATCTTGATTTCTGGTAGTGGAATTGTATGCATTTTGAGAGAAATTGGTTTAAAGCAATCTTTATTTGTTTGGCGGTAGATGGGTCAGTTGGATGAGAAGAAGATTTGCAAGAAATCACATTCATTCAAAAGCACAAGTCACATTGGCATGTGTGCATGGTTATATCATATTTTCAAAGGTTCTTAATGATATTCGCTTGTCTTGCACAAAACGTCGTGATCTGTTAGATCCCTTGTTGACCATACATTGCGAGACAAACGAATATCACTAGCAAGATTATTTTCGATATGAATAGCATTGTTTGGAAAATTAAATCATGAAACCTTCAGCATTCAAAACTTGGGAAAAAAACATACCCTTCAGAAAAATACCCCCCCCCCCACCTTCCTGTATGCATTACCCCCTAATCTAGAAATTTGTATTTATCAATGCACTTTTTAATGTCTTTCTTTACAGGGATAAGAACCGAGAGAAACAGAGGAAGCAAAGACTAAAGCTGATTGAAGATGGCGTCATCACTGGGCACAGGAAACAGAGAAGAGTAAGTATTAGTTGATCTGTCAAATCGCAACGAGTTGTGTACGTCATGCCATTGAAAATGCTTCAACTGTTATACCGGCTAATAATCAATGATATTTCATTTCTAAATTGATTAACCTAGTGTGTATGAAACAACAGAAAAGGCTATTATACATGCATGTGATTTTTTTTAGATACAGTCAAACCTGTCTATAAAGGCCATCCGTCTACTGTTGCCACTATTTGTGTTTCCCTTGGGTGGCCTTAAAGTGACTCAGTAACATTGCCTCAGATTCTGAAACAAAATCCTGGATTGAGCTCATGCTGCAATCATAATTATAAACCTTTAGGTCAGTCAGGAATTTAATGACTTTTACAAGCCGATCCCCGGTCTGATTATCAAGATAGTTATGATTAGAAATCAAAATTTCAATTTTTGTTAGTCTATTAGGGAAAATAGGTATGGTAAAACCAATCACTCAAAGATTTTTACTTTTTTGATAATTTTGAAGTGCAATTTTTTTAGGGCTTCAATATTACACCATATCACAGACACTGATAACACATAGGGCCATGCATCTCAGATTTAACATTGTTAAACGATGCCTTTAATAGACAGATATTATTGTGCAGTCAAATCTGCCTATGAATACCTGTTTACAAAGACCACCTGTCTAAAAACACTGACATTTTGTTTCCCCATAAACAATATCATTCTTAGAGATTTGTATTCCAGGAACCTGTTTAGAAAGAGCACCTGCACAGACAGACCCCTTATCTTGCCCTTCACCTTGGGCCTTTGTATACAGGTTTCTATGTATTAAAGTATGGTTTTGCACAATCTGTGATTTGTCTTTTCTTTGATCCAGGTTAAAACTGTAGCATGGTCCAAGAACAAAGAACAGAAAGAGAAGAAAAAGGAAAGGAAGCAGAAAAAAGTAGCTGCCAAGAAGAGGAAACAAGAGGTTAGCAAAAATAATTATAATGATAATATTTTGGGGTTTATATAACACTTAATGCATACTTGATATCTCAAAGCACTTTGCAGATATATTATTACCCCGGTCATCGGATTCAGGCTGGTCCACACTCATTGTATGCACATTCTCCACTCTCTGGGGAGCATTTGAGCCAGGTACCATTTTTTACAGATTTTTAGCAAACTGCAGTGACTTTCAAATTACAAGGTGCTTCTATAACACCTGGGTGGAGAGAAGCAATGTAGAGAAAATGCCTTGCTCAATGACATACATGTAAGTGCCATGACAAGGATTGAATCTACAACCTTCACATTTCAAGTCAAGTGTTTAAACCACTCCACACCTCTAGTATCAATGCTCAAACACCGTGTTGTATTCAGCAGCTGTTTTTGGATTTGCTTCTAGGTGTTGTTTTTTTGTTTTTCAGAGTTGTTATGTTAATGGCTCCTGTTTTAAACATTTCTGGTTAACTTGGTGTCTCTTTCACTTCTTAATAGTTTGATGAGAGTGAGCTGAATGAACTAGCAGACGACGTCAGACTTCTGAAGAAACTCAAGAAGGGAAAGGTAAGTTTTTATTGAATAATGGCTGTGGAATTTGCACACATTGTAACATTGCCATAATACACGCATTTACCCTAGACTCTTTACAAATTTTCACCAGTTTGTCTATGTTATTGTGTACTTGGAAGAAAGGGGGGAACCATGAATGTTGTCAATTTTTTCAAATAGTTTTGCAATAATAGGATCAATAAATATTTACAGATATATAACAACCTATCATTGTTTTTCTTCTACTTTTTTCAATTAAATGGTAGTTTAAAGAGATTTGAATCTACTTGTAAAGTAGTAATGTTTTTATCCTTTATGCTCTTTATTTCCATCCCCACAGATCAGCAAAGAAGACTTTGACACCAATTTTGGAGTCGCTACGGAGGATACATCAGCAACAGAAAAGGACAGCGTTGCCGACAAAACATGACAGTCCCACGCATTCGTTTCTAAGTTGAACATTTATTAGAAGTATGCAGATATAATACTGGCATATTCCAGACGGATTGGACAAATGCTTGTAGATGTGGGACTCTACCGCTCCTAGTGTTATTGAGGCTGCATCCTTTCCTCACCTACATCATTCTTCCAGACTATTCTCTGAGTTAATCATCTTTAACATCATTGAGGACTAAGGAGAGAGTGAGCCATTCTATTTGCATGCCAGAGCATTCATTGTGGAAAAGAGACAGTACAGTTGAACCTTCCATGAATTATGGAATCTGCAAGCATTTAAAAAAAGAATGTGCCAATTTAAAAGTATCAACTCCCAAATTCAGAAAACCATGATATAGTTTGGGAGACTAGCTTTACTGGCTATATATATGATATAATGATAATTGGTTTTGACATACCGGTATATACAATTCAGGAACATTTTGATGGTTCAAAGACGTAACTCCGTATTTTGACAAAATGAGTATTTGATGAAAAATATGTGGGCTTTCCAGGAAACACAAAGACTTAACTCCACCCAACACCCCATTGAAGTCAATGGCTAGTGAAACATAGACTCACTTCTTTAAGGCCCAAGTGCTCAGCAACACAAAACCAGAGTTACGTCTTTGTGTCACTGACCCCTCGATTTCGTCTATGTTACAAAATAATGTCGGTCTTCCATAAACTAATTGAACAAATTTTTATTTTGAAGGTTGTCATATGCGGATTATTCTTTAGCAGCGCTCAAAATACACGGGGGCGGTGGGCGATTCGCCCCCGTGAGCTCCATAATCACCCCCGTCAGGTTGCTTACGGGGGCGATTGCAAAATTAAAAATCGCCCCCGTGGAATTATAAAATAAAGATTATCTTTTCTGATATAACTTTAACACAAAATTGTGTATCAATTTTCAAACCTTAAAGGTAATACAAAGTTTTGGTATGGGGTCATGAATTTGGTTCAAATGAACATATTGGAAGCATATGCGATCCTACAATATTCAGTGATCGTTGTCGCGGTTGAAATCGAGTCTAAAGTTATGAAATTGTTAATAATACACCCTTTATGTTGTATAGCTCCCTCTCAAGGTCAAGATTATAATTAGACTATAAAACAATGTTTCTTGACTAAAATCTATCGATTAGCTATTCTCGTTTGGAACTTATATATCACAACTACATACTCTGAGATTTTCATGGTCGCAGCTACCATTGGACGGCCGCAGGCGCTATTTGAAGATTTATCAAAATTTACCGGGAGCACCGGTAAATTTTTATATTCAATTTTTCTCGAAAGCAGAAGTGTTTTAGGTGCTAATTTTTCTATTGCTTATAATACATCCACAGGGGCATCCAAATATATCAAAATTTCAAAGAATCACTTTCCACCCAATTTTCAAAATTGCCCAAAACTTTGTACTACCTTTAAACCAATGAAATGGAACTTAGATGGCACTTTCTCTACCATCTCTACGAGTATTACCGATACAAACAACGGAAGCTCGCGGTGCGACCGTCAGCACAGTGGCTATACTGCGCTGGTAGTACCGGTGTGCACGCTGACGCCCAATATCTGCTGGAGTTGGAGATCGACGATCGCGCAAGGACTGAAACATGGAGAAGTTTTTCGTTGTGAAAAGTTGGAATCCTCTGAAATATGGTGATTCTTAAAGACCAGCAAATAATGTAACTCGACCAGTAAATCCATATTGAGAAGAAGAAGAAGGCATAAGATGTTGCAGGGGCTGCCAAGGAAAATGTGATGTGCATAGAAAAATGCTATCATGTGTCCAGACCTACACAGTATTAGTAGATGTCAGTAGATGCCAGGAAAACATCACTAACGGGGGTTCAAAAAAAGCACACAAAAAATCGCCTCGCTGCTACGAGGCTTGTGAACGATGCTCCACATCGTATTTGGGGTGCCCCCCACCCTTAGCAAAAAGCTTGATCCGCCCCTGTGTTTTGGAAGGATATGGTAAAGACCAAAAGTAAAGAAAGAATGTAAATAACGTTTTTAATTTAGTACATTTTAGATATCTGAAATGTGTCGCCTCTTTAGTCGAGGAACCACATTGTATGTGCATAGGAACTTCTTGCATCCTCTACTACAATAAATATGAAGTATTTTATTTTACAGCAGACTTAAATTGTTTCAGTTTGTATATCATTAGCGTAAAGGAAGTTTGAAAGGAAATTTTACGAAAAAAGGGGGGCTAGAAAAATTGAGGAGAAAAGGGAACTGAATGGAGGGAACTGAATGGAGGGAAAGAGCAATGAAAGCAAGAGGGATGAATGGAAAAGATGGAAGGAGGCAGGGGGACTGAGGAAGAGAGTAGGGGGTGGGAGGGACAGAGAGAGACAAACGGGAGAGAGAAGAGATGGAGAGAAGCAGAAGGGAGGGAAGGATGGGGAGAGAGAGAGTAGGAAAAGTGCGGGAGGGATTGTCTTTGTTCTAGAAAGGAAAGCATATTCAAGGAAAATTCAAACACAAAAGCTCAAAATCTTTCGGTTTCAGAATTTTATTTCAATTACAATTGCTGTTACTTGAAGTGAATGTTCAAGTCTTTTTATATACAACATCATCATGAAAAGTACATATTTAACAGCATATTGTCAAGAAAACCCTCAATGATCTAAAAAACATCAAATATTTTCAATAATAAACACATGCACTCTTCATATTGTCATACGGATAACGTTCTAATGATGAGCGACACATGATAGCCAAATAACAAAAATATAAATCAAAACTCCGACCAGCTGAATCTGACAAGGCAATTTGTGTTATTTACATGCACATGGTACAGCTATCTGGTACTCTTAAAAAATGTTGAACGTACAACCTTATTAAAACCACAACTAAAAACGTTCCCTCTCAGAATCCTAAAAAACCCAAGCACAATTATTTGCTACTTACAGTGTCCCCTTTCCCCTATGTAATCTCTAAACATTATGTACATGAAAAGAGGAAAGCTGTGAACGAAAAGGAAGCATTTCCACCTAAGTGGCATCCAGTTCTGCAAACAAAAGACAGACATCTGAAATCTAAGGCCAGGCCCTCTTTTCACAAAACTTGTTATCATTGACAAATTTCAATTACTGTTATAAGCTACTGAAATCGTGGCATTTGATTGGTTGAGAACATATTTGTTCAGCTTATGTCACTGATAACAAGTTTTATGAAACGGGGCCCAGATTGACAATGTAGGAATTCAGAATGGTGCCCAAGGACAAAATAAAATATATTGGCTTTAATATTTCATTTCCCCCTACAAAAACATGGCATTTCCTCTCTCCTTTTGTTCTCTATAGTGTACATGTTTGCCAGGAATGTGTAAAATATTTTCAAATATACACCTATGAAACACAATCGCTTATTTAGGGATGAAACATGTTTTTGTATCTACAAAGGACCGAGTCATTCCAACAGTATACATAAATATCCTAGATTCATATTTTCCAAAGATCGAGTCGCTATTCCAAATTACCACAAAAATCAGAACAGAATCATCAATTGCAAATCCATTTAAAATACACCTGATTACAAGCATTTGGCAACCCTATGGCCAGGATGTAGATAATGGCCTGACTTAGGAGTAAAAATATAATTGACACTACCCTAAAAAAGCAAAATTTACACTCGATCTACACAAACCATTGATAATAAGTACACTGGAGCGTACCAAAAGATAGTTTAACATTTGGGAATATGAGTTCAGCAAAAAGTAGTAAATATGCAGTGATGAATGTGGATGGGGTGAGAATTCTATTTCTTCTGATGCACTTCTAAAGCACTCGTGCACAGATCAGATGTTCCAAATTACAAATTTGGTATCAACTTACAATAATTAAACTTAAGTGACGGGCAAAAGTATGTACCATCTTTACACAAACATCAGTTAACACAGATGGGTGTATAATTAACAGATGTCTGAAAGCAAAATCATGATTGTCTTTGAAGTAGCTTTATAAAAAGTGTGAATTAATAAAACATGAAACAAAATTAATGTTGATAGTGATTACAATTTTACATCATGCAAAAAATCATTAAAACATAATGTATTTCATTGGAGGGATTTAAAATTGATATTCTACCCATGATCATTAATTAAAATTCAGATATTGAGAAAGCCAAATTTATAAAGGACTTAAATAAAATATAAAATACTGCATAAACGTAAAATCAATTAAAACTTGTTCACATGGAGTTGGAGCAGAAAGCACTATATATGAAACAAATGTACAATTTATCTTTTCGGGTCAATAGGATAGAGAAAGTTGAAAGCTACCTTCTAAAAGTTTAGGAACAAATGACAAATCGTCGTCCCATAGATTAACAAATTTCAGGATAGGAAGAAAGAGGAATATATGTCAGTAAGACTCAGTATAATACAAATTTTTCAAACAAGATTGCATGTAGTTAGCTTTTTTATTAAAAAAAAACATGATGGCATATAAACTGATGATTAAAGTACCATTTATCCAAATGCAAGCATCTGACTGCATTATTTACAATAACAGTTGCAATGCAAAGTGTGGTTTTGGGGACTAGAAGCTTCCTGAAATAGTAAATGTTCAGTCAAGTAGCAACTAGGAATCAATACTTTACAAAGAAACTATACAAAACACACAGGAAACAGGATTATACTCTCTGCCATACACAGATGAGGTTCTTGTTTGTAACGGAAACGATAAACTTGCAGTCCGAGCTGATTGCGACGTCATTGACGATGATCCTGTCTTCCGAGTCAGCGAGGTTCATCAGCTCTTCAGCTCCTTTGGATTTCTTCAATGATTGTCTCAATTCTGCGATCTCAGCCCTTGCCCTGGCATTATCTGCTTTGGCTTGGGCCTTCTCTGCCTTGGCCTTCTCCGCTTCAGCCCTCTTCTTGGCTTTCTCCTCAAGTTTTTTCTCAGCTTTGACTGCCTTAATCTTAGCCGACTTGGATTTTTTGGCTGCTTCTTGCTTGGCGGCTTCCTGGATCTTTGCTTCTCTCCTTGCCCTGGCGGTCTGGGCTGCGGATGAGGTTGCTGCTGCTCTGGGCGACGAATCCCTTTGCGGCTTTTCAGAGTCTTTATCTCCGGAAGATACTCTAGGAGATGCTCCAGGAGATGCAACTTTCTTAGGTCTTCCTCTTCCCCGTGGAGTACCTGGTGTTGCTTCTCGTTCTGCTTTCGCTTGCTTAGCTGCTTCTTCTTTCGCTTGCTTAGCAGCTTCTTCCGTCGCATTGAGGACCTTCTTAGGACGTCCTCTCCCCCTCTTTTGTGGTGTTGTTACCTCCACCTCATCTCCAACCTTCTCTTCTCCTTCCTCCATCTTAGCATCTTTGTCTTCTGATGTTGCCTCTGCGATCTCTGCTTCTTCGACCTTCTCTTGCTCAGTCTCAGCTGCTTTTGAACTCTCGACAGCCTCCTCCTCCTCCTTGGCCTTTTCCTCCACCACCACCTCTATTTCACTGACTACCATTGGAGCAGTCTCTGCTACTACTTCCATTGCAACTTCCGCCACCTCTTTCTGTCCATCCTCCACGGGTATCTCCATTGGTTTCTCCTCCTCTTTTGGCTCCTCGGCCGATTCCTGCGCAACAACACTTTCCTCTTTACCATCATCACCCACAACCTGAGAAACCACTTCCTCCAAGACTTGTGCCACTGCACTCTCCGCTGTGGATTGTTCTTGAGCCATCTCTTCAGCTGGTTTGGCTTCTACCTCCTCCTCCTGTTGTTTAATGGCCTCAGGGTCCTCCTCTTGTTGCTTGATGCCTGCTTCTGCTTCCTGTTGCTTGAGGATTGCTTCTGCTTCCTGATCTGATATCTCCTTGATCTTGGTGTCCTCCTCCTCCTCCTCAATCTCTTGCTCGTTGTTTTCAGGCCAAGGAAGGAGCTGCATAGAGTTAGAGAAAAATGCAAGGATAATTAGAACGACTTATCAAGAACATTCACATCACATCATTCCAATAATTACAAATTGCATAAACACATTTCATATTATTAATACGATTTTATCTTCCAACTACACAAGGAGCGAAATTGCACGAATCACAAATTTAACACAATACAGAATTTGCATGATATAGCAATTTTCAAGTTCAGATTCTAAAATGTTCATGCAGCGCAATAGAATCACAAACTTGACACAACACTGAATTGCATGAAATAGCAAGAGAAGTTCAGATTCGCAAATGTTCATGGAGCAGATTTACATGATTCACAAACTTGACACAACACAAAATTTTTGCAAGCCATGAGAGTCCTTGCCATGAAAATGTCTCTAATTTAAATCATGTAAGTTTAAATCATGGTTTTACAGCAGGGTCGATGCTGGGAATTCAATAGTCTTTAATACCAACTTTACTCCTGAGCTTTTGTCACAAAGCATGTGCCATAGAATCCTTTACTTGGGATCATTTGGTAAAGGTTTCATTCAACTCACCTGACTTGGTTTGACTGGCTTCCTGTTCTTTGAATGGACTTTCTTGCTGACATCATAAACCCAGACCTCTCCTTGATCATCACCACTCACCAACACTCCGCATCCTGCAAACATACAAAGACAACAGAAAATGTTGCACTCGTAATCATACCACAATCATGAACATACCATATGTTTTTAATATTGTATTCATGATATTTGTTCTTATTTTTTTTATTGTTGTTTGGGTGGTTTGGTGTTCTCTGTACTTTTTCTGAGGTGAGAGTAATCACAATCGAAGGCACAAAGATGATGAGGAGATGAAAATTAAGTAAGCACTTACAAAAGTCTATTGTGGGTTTCTGTTTTACAGGTGTACATGGCAAAAATTTGAATTTCACCTCATATTTGGTTAAAGCCAGTCAGGAGAGTTGGGAGCCCCAAATTCGCCAAAAATTTGATGGCAAAATTTCACTTAAATTGTATCATTGTGAAAGAGGATGCCATTTAAGACACACTTCTGCAAAGATTTCCCCCCAAAAAATGTGTTTGAAGACAAATACTGATAAAAGAATACACAATATGGGTTTTCTGTTGTATGCTGAAACCCTAAATTTTGTATTTTTTCATTAATATTTAACTTCAAACACATTTGTTTTGAAAATCCTTGCAGAAGTGTGTCTTAAATGACATCCTCTTTCACATTATGATTATGATACAATATAAGTGAAATTTTGCTATCAAATTTTGGGGGCTCCCAGCACTTCAAAGGGGCTTTAACAAACACCGAAAATAAAATTGAAAATAGTGAGGCATGAAAAATGGTTTTGCATACCTGGCCATGTGCCAATGTCGAGGTAGACGCTGTCTGAGTCGCACCATTCTAATGTGTAATGAGGATCAATGGTGACCTCCTTGCTTCCTGGTACCTGTCGCTTACGAGACTTGGACAGACTCCATACGTGAATGGCGCCATCACACGCCACTTTGCTTGCTGTGAATACATAAATGACAAGAAATTTAAGTAATCACTCAAAAGAAATTCACAACAACTGATAAGTATGTACAAATTATATATGGATGGAAAGATTTTCTCTTGAAAAACATGAATGATTTGCTGAAAAATCATATAGATATCATGAAAATGTGTAAAATGCAATTTTGTGGCTAGCTGTGTCTCGCAGGTGACGTAAGGAATCTTGACGCTCTACGGAGGATCGCTGAAGGCAGAAAATCTGGGATCTCAAAATTAACATTTTGATTCTTCGGGGTGACACAAACAGGATAGAGTAAGCACATGCTGTGCATCAGGATAAGTTGGTTATCCAACTTTTGTTAGCTAAGACAGTAAATTAAAGTCTGAATTTCAATCTTTCAAAAAAGATATGACAACGTTTATTTCAACAGAAAACCATGTGGTACGCAAGATTTATGGGTGCATATTTGTTGTTACAATATATTAACTGTCCAGACACACATTCCCCAATCATCCCTTTATTCTGAATTAAACATTAATTTCATAATATAGATGAATTCTTCAATGTCTATGCAATTAGAATGGGATAACAGCCATATTAGATGTACAGGAAGTTGACTGGAAATGACCCCAAAAAGTATTCTCTTCTAAAACTCACCAATGAGATCGTTTTTGAGAAGTGCAAGTCCATCAATCATGTCTCCTTCCTTCTCACCACTGTCTTCAATGACCTCTTCCTCATCCCCCATCAGCCTTGCCTTACTTGGCAACAGGAACTCTACACTGTGGGTTCTGAAATCATGTGTATAAAGCGATATGGACTGTTAATAGGTGTGGTCAAATATCATTATCAGGCACTGTGGGTTCTGCAATATGTACATCAAGAGATATAGATGCTAGTAAGTGTATTCAAATCTTGTTGTTAGACATGTTGGCATGGAGTGGATGACACATTTCTTTGACTGGAGGGGGGGGGGGGGGGGGGTTCAAGTTACTTGTTACTCGGTATGGGTGTTTCAGAGCACGCAAATATTGTTTGGCCAAGCAGGAGAAGGCCAGTAAAACACCACAATGGAGACAATTTGGCTCATGCCATGGCTTTTATCATAATTTTCCATTCTTTCAAAATGTTAAATTCAGCTTCATCTAGCCGTGATTTCTTGACAATTATAATCATTACTTCTATAGTTGAACATACAAAGAGTACTTCAGTACGAATATTTGCGCAAAGAATATGTATATATATATCGCGGAGAGATGTATGCAATACATCAAGAGATCCACTAAAAGCAAAGCTAGCAACAACAAAAAACAACAACAACAATGAGAGGCACATCACAAATTAATGTGATCTATAACTTCAGGATATTGCATTAATGCTCTTCACAAACAAAATCAATATAACAGATTTTTATTCTGTATCAAACAAAACCGAAGCTGGGCACTTACTTTTCTGTTTTGGCGATGGGTCCCTTGACATCTAGATCCCATCCATAGCATCCATTGTCACAGCCAGCCATCAAGAAGTTAGACTTGGGGCAGATCACTAACCCAAGACATCTACCTGGTGCTTCCAATGTAAACAGTTTCCTGGATAGAAGAGTATACAAAGAAACTGGTTATGACAAAAACATGATTTTTCTGACTTTTTATGCAAGTCTACCAGACACTTCTAATGTAAATAGTTTCCTGATTGTAAGAGCGTACAAAGAAACTGGTTAAGATAAAAACATGATTTTTCTGTTAAAAGTTGACTTTTTATGCGTCTACCTGACACTTCTAATGTAAATAGTTTCCAGATTGTAAGAGTATTCACCGAAACGGTTATGATAGAAACATGATTTTTCTGTTAAAAGTTGACTTTTTATGCGTCTACCTGACACTTCTAATGTAAATAGTTTCCTGGTTATACAAGTATACCAACAACAAAAAGGGTTCAATTATAAAAACATGGCTTTTGCCTTCTATTTAAGTTGACTTTTTATGCTAGTCTACCAGACACTTCTAATGTAAACAGTTTCCCGATTATAAGAGTATACAAAGAAACAGTTATGAAAAAAAAAACAGGATTTTTGTTGTTGTTAAAGCTTGTCTTTTTATACTGGTTTACCAGAAGCTTCTTATGGAAATAAGTTTCCTGATTATCAAAATATCAACAAAACTTGGTATGTAGAGGTATCATTGTCTAGTGAGGATTCTGTTACTTGTATTACCATCAGTGTTTGGTGGGAGCAACTGAGACAAATGTATGAGTGTTTTATTATCAGAAGTAGCAGTGACAAGAAAAAGTAAGGAATATTGTTTACCTCTTTCAAAATATCAACAGACTACCTAATTGAAAATATCAGCCAAGCCATTGAACTTTTATAGTTTGTGAAGTCATATTTATTTTTAAAAAAGGACCAATTTCTTCATTTAAGTCTCAATTTCATCCCGCAGACTTAAATCATCAATTATGACATTTGTTACATTACTTCGCCCAATTGATGCTTTTAACCCTTACTGTACTGGGCTATTTTGAGCACCTCCTGACTGGGGGGGGCCTGGGAGGCCCCCCCCCTATGATCTCGGCCGTCGGATGTCCGATGAACACGAAAATTTGCATGTTTGTAGATATTTACGTAACGAACAAGATGGTGTAATTAGTTTTTTGTGAATATGCAAATTTTTGTCGTTATAGCCTAATTAATTATGCAAAATGCTAATTTTATGCATTTTACAGAAGACGTGTCAAACTTCACTTTTTGAACGTTGAAACTCATTATTCATATGAAACTTCTTTTCTAACACAAAATATTTATTTGGATGTAATTAATAATGATAATTTATGCAAATTTGATGCGATTTTCAAATATTTATTTGCTTATGTATTTTATTGTTTTTTTATTTCTTATTATATCTATTGTTTTTATTTCTTATGTATTCTTTTGTTCTGGAATACATCAAGTTACTTTGAGAAACATATAAAAGCAATTCGATATCAATTTATATCACCCACTTAGGAAGGAATACATCTAAACCTGTATTCACATTTCTGCTTGTACATGAATATATGCAATTATAGCATATTTTTGATGACATGCGCATACTAATTGTTATGTAACACCTCACAGGTATATCCGATTGCGACGAAAATGGTATCAAAACGTGCGTAAGACTTGAGGGAAAAAAGTCATGAAACGACAATTCAAAATTTCAAGCGGTTGCGGCGCAATCTCCGAAAATGTCGAGGGGGGGGCCTCCCAGGCCCCCCCCAGTACAGTAAGGGTTAAGAGATAAGAGCAGAGACCTTGTACTGATGTTTTAACTTACTTGTGTCTGGTTTTGAGGTCCGGTCCATGTGGAACACCAATGTCAATGACAGTGATGTCTTCTGATCCACCTGCAGGGAGAACGATACAAAAAGAGCATGAACTAGATGCATGCAGAGATTCTTTTACTTTCGAAATCACAGAAACCATTTAATTTCAAGCACACAATTGCTTCCAGATTACCAAAGGAGCTATGGATGATTTTATCACCACTTACGTTATTTTTTTGGAACAAATTAAAATCTGTTGAAATGTATATATTAATCCACAGCACTTTTGCACAAATTGAAGAAAACAAAAATGGAAACATAATATCAGAGAATTATTCACCAACTTGTGTTTTATATCTACTATATATCAGCTGTCAAATTAGGAACTTTTGTGAATAGGTGAGAATGGCCTCATCACAGGAAGAAACATTTGCAAAAAGGCACAAATCCACAGTTATAATTCAATCACTTTAATAGCAACATGAAAGTTCAGCAGAGTTTGCAAACAAATTTCATGGACAGACCAAAAATGTCTAGTTTTCAGGTAAGTTTAGAGAAACCTTCATGTTTTCCAAATAATTATAGAGTTTAACTTACAGAAGAGCCATGTGGGTCTCTTTGGATGGAAGAGCAAGCAGTTGACTGGTTTTGCTTTGGCTATTTTGATCTCAGCATAGCAGAGTAGCTGGGTGGTGTGGAGTAGCTTGATGGAACCTCGCACACCCCCTGCAGCCAGGACAGTGGTGGGTCTGCGGTGCAGGTCGGTGATGACGCTCAGCTTGGTCCAAGCAATGCAGTAGAACTCCTGCGATTTTAGGGATTTTAGAGAATGACAGTTAAAGATACTATGTCCCTTTTGCAGCCGACTTCAAATTCTGTAGAACTTTGCAGGAATTATGAATATGTCATTGAAACATTAGCAGTATCCTAGTATTCAAATTATGCAAGGAAACCCATTTACCTTCTAGACTTCACTGTCAGACACTATTGAGTAACTGACTGAAATGTTTTTTTTCTTTGGTAATAACATCCATAAAATGAGCTGTAACAGGTACATGAGCATTTTTCTACATCAATAACCCACTTCTGGTAATGGCCAAAATTAAACTGATTGAATCTTTGTGCAGCACAAAACCTAAACGTACGACCATTCGGTACAAGGGTCGGAAAATCAGATTATTACTTAGGTGATTGCAATCACTGTTGATTCAACAATTAATGGTCGTTATTTTCTAACTAAAAGTCATTTTCAAGCCCTTTTGTTTTGAGGGAAGTTCTAAATTAGCATTGTCTTTCAAATGCTGTTGGAATTTAACCTTTTCATTTTTGTGGCCAGCAAAAGGGGCATAATACCTTTAAGGCATGGATACAGGAAAAAAAGCGATGAATTTAATACACATAACATATTCTAGCAAACCTATCTATAAAGACCTTTTCCCTCCTGGATCTATGTTTTTTGTTGAAACCAGTATAAAAGGAACCTGACTATCAAGACCATTTTTCATGTACTGGTTTGACTATAATAGTGCCATGTCAAGATGTCAAGATGCAGGAGATTGTAAGGACGATTTCTGAGTACATCCTTGCAAATTTCAAAATATTAGCATTTTCTACAGAAAATGATTAAAAGGAATTCTGCTTTTAAACTAATTTTATTTTATTCAAAGCAAAAGATGAGATAAAGTGATCAATGAAAGTTAGGAAAAATTCCATATTGTATTAGAAAATTATGAAATTGTTATGTATGCGACCATTTAAAGTCAAATTGGCAAATAAAGAAAACAATAATGCATAAGCTGCTTACCTCTTTCTCTCTTGTGTGTTGATATTTCTTGAGTACCTTGCCAGAGTTACAGTCAATGACACAAACCTGGTTACTGCCACATGTTGCAACGGTCCATTTACTTGCACCTGTGAAAATAATAAATAACTCCAATATAATAGCTCTCCATATTCAAATAACAAATAGCTCTTTATTTTCATTTAGGTAACATAATATTTTGTTTAATATTTATTTATACATCATTTATTTATTCATACATATATTTTTAGAAACAGTGTCATGACCAAATGACCTTTGAAAACTTACTCTCAAAATCTAATCAGTTCTGACATATTTCAGTCAGGTTTTTTTGTTTTAAATTGAGTTTTCAAGTTATGGTTACAAGTAAAGGGACTGACGGACAGACAGACAGCCGGAAAACCTAATGTCTCCAGAACCATCTTTGGTAGTGGAGGCATAAATAAACTAGATGGAACTTTGACTGCAAAATGATGCCTCTGCCATAGAGCCATTTAAAAAACTTCAACAGAATCAATTTTTAAAATTCAAATTTGATTGTAATCGATCAACAGGTTCTCAGAATATCGTGATTACACATTATTTTTCATATACATGTATGACCCTTTGATCTTCGACCTCATGACCCTAAAATCTAATCAGTTCATTAGCTCTGCAAGATACATACATGTTTGGAGGTTTTAATTTGCTTTAGTGCAATACTGAAAGGGAAATTATTATTTATTCCTTTATATTTGTATTCTACGCTCATTCAGCTTTTCATCGATATAAAGATGTATTTTCATTTGACAGTGTCTTTACAGCAAGCTTACCTTCTATTTCAGGATTTGGTTCGAATGCACATTTCCATACGTTGGTCTTACAGTCCGTCGGGTCGTTGTCTACCGAATGACATCTCAAGAGATGTACAGGCTCATACGCAATACCACATTCCTGTGTTCAGCAAATACAAAGTAGAAAGGGACATTCACACAAATTAAATTAATTTCAGAGCAGAACTGTCATAACTCCTAATCTGGATACCAACAAAAATATATCAGCCTAATCATCAATGCTTGTAATCTCATGGGTTATCTATTTATTTATTTTATACTGTAATCCACATACTTCTTTAGTTTGCAAAAGTTTCTTCATTGTCATTGTGAACAAATATATATGGGCATATAAGGACTAATTTTTCATGATAAATTACATTCATTGATGATTATTATTCTAAAAGGTTAACTAAAAATATTCCTGTGGCTTCAATATATCTGGAATGACACAACACCAATTTAGGTAACATTAATGGCTATCAAGATTGTCATTTTTAATGAATTTCAAACATAGGAACATATAAAGTAAAGCATTACCAATCAGACTACATGCTCGCATGTATCTGAGATTCAAAACTTTGCAGAAAAGCAGAAAAATCATCAGCAAAAGCCAAAGAGTGAAATTTTGAAAAAGAGATGTAGTCCACAATAAGAACACATTAGTTCAAGTGTAGCATGACAAGACTACGTGTCTTTCCTGGGGCCTGACTTGGGGCCAATCGGGTATAATACGACTATGAGCGACGCGACCAAAGCAATCACATGCGTGCAACATACTGTACGCGAAACCGAAGCGTGAGGAGAACTTCGGTCTGTTTTGCAAACAGTCGCTGACTACTGCTAATCAAGTCCATTTGTTACGTGCAGTTGTCCAAAAGAAGTCAAAGATTGCGTTAACCACTATTTGCCAAGCTACACTCTCTTTAACTTCTGTTAAAGCAGGCTGACATTGCCAAAGGAAGACCACTTTTCTCACCTGGTTAGAACCTTGGCTCTCCATCTCCTCATCCACCTCATCCACCACTTCTTCTGCTTTGATCTCCGGCTTGGGTTCCTCCTCCGCCCCTTCGACCACCCCAGTGTCTTGCATCTTCTGAGCTTCTATCATCTTCCGCTTGGCGGACGTCTTTGGGACCTTGCCCTTGGGGGAGACACCGGCCTGTACTGCTTTGGCCTTCTTCTGGGCGGGTTCCTGTACACCGCTAGCTTGAGCTGTGAAGAATATTAAAGACATTGTTAATAGCAATAATCCAGTTTTCTGAATCTGAGATGCATGGCCCTACGTGTTATCAGTGTCTGTGATATGGTGTGATATTGAAGCCCTAAAAAAAATTGCACTTCAAAATGATCATGAAGGGCCTCAAAAAGTAAAAATCTTTGCTATACTCATTTTCCCCCAATAGAGTGTAAGAAAACTAGTAACAAATTGTGAAATTTGTAATTCCAATCATAGATATCTTGATAATCAGACAGGCGATTGGCTTGTGAAAGTCATGGGATTCCTGACTAACCTAAAGGTTTATAATTATGATAGCAGCATGAGCAAAATCCAGGATTGTTTTGAAATCTGAGGCACAGATACCCTATCCCTTTAAAACAATACAAATGCGACCACCTCTCCTATATGCCTCTGCTCTAAATTCAGTACAGCGCACCTTCCTACCATGTAAATCGATGTGAAACCAATGATGCGATAGCGCTATATAAATTAATATATTATTATTATTAATTGGATGGAATTAATCGTGACATATCACAATGAAATAAAAAAGGCTTTCTCTAGTGGCTCTAGAGATTTTGCAATAAAATGCTGGAATTTCATAAGTTGACCCCTGTGACCTTTGACCTAGTTACTCCAAGATGTAATCAGATTGTCTTCCTATGGTGATACATATTATTACCAAGTTTAAGCCTCACATCTCTAGTGGTTCTCAAGATATTTGCGAATAAAAAAGGAGAACAACAGATTCAATGTTAGGAACTACACATAATGTAAATGTCTGATGTCTTAGGTCTATGACCTTGTGATTTGGTGTCACGACCTCACCCTGACAGATTCATGCTCACAACTTGCATGCAGTTGTGATATATACTAATAGAACAGATAGATGAATGTGTGGTGGCATTTTATTTCAATCCGCTAATGAACCTTTTTTGTTGTTTCTCAAAATCTTCTGCCTTCCCCCATTCGATTCGATTTTGAATATATCTGAGGCTACTGCCAGTCCAAATTCAATAAATTAGACTAGACCCTCCTTTAATACCACATTGGACTATTAAGCTCATATCTTTTATTCAACTTCAGCAAAATTGATGTAGAGGGAGTATTTTGAATTTCCACATCATCTATTTACAAAAACATGGAAGTTAAGTTCATATCTCTCAATCACCAATTCAACGTCAACACACACACACACAATTTCCCTAGGCTCTCACAAGCCCCAGCTGCATAAAGCAAACAATATCTATGACAAACTTACCTTGCAGTTGTCTCTTCTCAACTGATTTAGCAAGTGCGGCTGCATTGCCGTTGCTCATGTGTGCTCTGTGTGCAGAGGCTCCAGCCTCGTTCCTGACCACGATCTGTACCTTGGATATGGGTGTTCCCGGCTCGGCGATCTTACGTAGATGAGCAGTCATCTGTCGTACACACTTCTCAGCTAATACAGTAAGCTAAAGGGGGTGGGAGGGGGGAGGGAACAAATCATTAATAATCTACAAAAATGATATCACAATTTATCAAATGCATCATTTCTAGATGCAAATCATTAATTGTTTGAGAATAAAACAAATGTCTTGTGTCATATACATGTATGTTACTTTCTCCCATTCTCTATATGTGCATATGGGGGGGGGGGGGTGAAACAAATCACAAATCAATTACAATAATGTAATCAAAATTTATCAAATGTATCCTTTCTACATGTAGCTGCAAATCAGTAGTTGGGATTAAAAAAAACAAGCTTTTCATTTCAAGTTGTTTTATGGGATCACATGCTGCCATTTGCTTGCAACCAGTCTAATTCAAAATGCACATAATAGAGTATGGTAGAAGTTGGAATATATGACACAAGAGACAAGACTAACAATTATCAAACTAAAAGTGCATTTTCTCAGAAATTCCTAACACCAGATCATCATTGAACTTTATCAGGTAATGAAAAATTCATCATCTTATTACACAATATTAAATTTCAGCGCACATCTTGGAGCGCATTTCCATCAAGGAAATCAAATTTTCTGTCGACAGGTTCATGTATGTTGCAAGTAGTGCTGTAACATCACGGATATCTCCAATTCCGTTTAACCGCCTGTCAAAACCGGACAGTTTTCGGTTAAACGATTTATTTAAAAAAATAAATAAATTTAAAAAAAATAAAATCGTTTTTTTTTTTTTTTGTTATTTGGCCGTGTGAAAAAGCTGGAAGGTGATTTAACTGAAGGCGCCGATTTGTACTTGTGAACTAGTCACAAATAATAGTAACAATGTCGTTTTAGAATAATGTGTAAGATCATTAAAGTAAATTAAAAACAGTAGAGGACTTAGGATAGAACCTTGTGGTACACCATGTGTTAAACTTGGATGAATATATATTGAGATCTATTACAAAGATTACTTTCAAACCAAGATGACAGACAAATTGGAAAGTTGTTCTAGTTTCCAAGTGGTAAGTCATCACACCGATTACTGAGCTGGGAGACATTGCCAGGCATAGTGCCAGGTGGAGGGGCATAAATCAAAACTTTAAAAAAAAAAATTTAAAAAAAATATATATTAAAAAAAAAAAAAAAAAAAAAAAAAAAAAAACAGGAAAACGAAACCGTCCAATTGAAAACGGAATCCGCCATGGGCGGTCGGATACCGGACGGTTAAATGTTTGACAACAGCACTAGTTGCAAGAGTGTCAACGTTAGGATAATTTACCATCAACTGTATATTGTCCTTACCATGTGATGTGTGAAATCTGTGAGGGCGTCTGGTCCAAACTGTACTTGGGTTTTGAGAAGTTCAATGAACTGCTGCTCAAGCATCTGAATCTCTGCTTTGCTCATAGGGTCTTTCAAGAGAGGAGCGCAGCTCTCTGCCCACAAGATATGCACCTGTCAAAAGATAATGGTAGGGGGGGGGGGGATTTACTAGAAAAATTTTACACGAATTGTACCTCCTCCCCCATCATAAACCCCGACTCTGCCAAGCTCTATGGTTTCAAATGCAAAAATAATACACATTATAAAAATCAATATAATCACACACAATTCTATTTATTTGAATATTCAACATTACGTCTGTTACAGCACAAAACGTTAAAATTATGGGAGAATAGATTTGATGAATTGTTCATGATACATAGTTATGTAAACTCAGTGATTCCCTTTACAATGCTAACATGTAATTGATTGAACAACTTATATATGAGATTACTTTCTACAGAGCCCCAACCAGGGGTTCAAAATTCCCGACATCTACACATAAACATTATCACTAATTTATTTAGTCATTCATTTATTCATGATTAAAACTTATCATTGTTCATGAAAAACTAATCTTTACACCTTTCCGATTTTCTGATAATCAATCACACACGTTTCAAACATTCTCAAGCAACACAGAATCTCTTCTATAATACATGGGCCAGTCTTTATTACACTGCAGTCAAGGATATCCCTATAAATCATGGGGACACATCCACAATCAATCAGCTACCAAGATTAGCATGGTGTACAAAGCACATCCTGCTTTAAAGAGAACAAAGGAACCTCATCCATACCAAAGGACCTGATGTTATACACACATTGAACACCTCCTTATATAATGGAGTGTAGAAATGCCACTAAATGCAGTGGCCAGGGGTTCTAAAGTCGCAAAGGCTTGTTTTCTGTTTTTTCTCACACAGAGATCTCACATCTCACATACACACCTAACATCAACAATGGCAAACTTCTATATAAACTCAATGCAAGGATAACTAGAACAAGAAAACTGAAATCCAGAAGTGCTGGAAAACAAAAGATTACACATTCTAGGTGTATTCAAACACCCTAAGACACACCCCCCCCCCCAAAAAAAAGGAAAAAACGTCAGAACACACACACGGCAACAAACGAACATAAGAGCACACATTTTGAATGCATCCAAACAAAAGAAACATACTAGAGATCATAAACATTTACCTGTTCTTGGAGGGTTTCTTCCATATTGAGGATTGTTTCTCTGAGATCTACCTCTTTCCCGTTCAACACCTTCAACTTGGGAAGCATGTAGACAGCAATGTATTGGTCAGCAACCTAGAAAAAACAAAACAGAAAACAATTTGTTACATTAAGTTCAAAATTCATGAAACTGCTTACCGGGTATATATTTATATTCATTCGATAGAAGTGCTTATATCACACACTTCCTGCATCTCAGTATACAGTCAAACCTGCTTTCGCGACCACCTGTTTAATATATATAAAGACCACTTTTTATGTTTCACTAGAACTTTCTTTATATACAGGTTTCACTGTATCATTAAAGACTCTGTATCAGCCATAACAAATACAGATTTTTCTCTTAAGTTGAACATCAAAATCATTGAAAAGAAAAAATAATACCAAAACAGAGAATATCCAGATATTTGGAAGAAATGAAAAAGTACATACTTGAAGAAAGTATATATAAAACAATAAAATGGATTTCTCTAGATGACATTTGAAGCCTGTCTGCACTAGTTTGGCCAGGGGGGATTAGACTTCCCTACAAGGTCACCGACAGGTGTTTATCTCATCAAATCAGCTCTCAATTAGCATAAGAAAAAGGGGATCATGGGGGACCAACAGAAATCGATAAGGCATTATATAGAGGGCGCAAGTAGCTATACGTAGTGCAGTGGGGCATTTTAAAAAAAATAAACAAATTGTATACTCACAGTGAGTTCATTGTTCTCAATGTGAAGCTCCTCTACATTAGGGAACTGCTCCAGAGTCTGCACAGATTTGAGGAGGTTGGTGTTACAGTTGAGTTTCTTGAGGTGGCGTAGTCCGAGCGAGAGAGGGAAACCGGTCAGACGGTTGTTGGTCAAGTTCAGATCTACCAGACTACTCATACGAGAGAATACGGCCGGGTCAAGGGTCGAAATGCGCCTGTTGGACAGGTCAAGGTTCACAATGTCCTGGGAAAGGGGAGTATGAAAATCAGTGTTAGATAAACAAAAATACTACTATTGGAAAGAACTTTAACAAAGTGGACATTTCAGTCACATGTGAGCATTAAAGAAAAAATTGAAATAAAATTTAAAACAAATTAATTTTGAGGCATGCCATTTTTTATGATTTTAAACCACTACTGAAAGTCATCACAGCTTAATGCAAATCAAATTTCAAGGGGGTGTTTCACAAAGATCCTAAGTGGAACTTAACTCTTATTTGGACTTCAGAATAATGGAGAGCCATTTGTAGCCTTAAAATAAAATTCAAGTATTTTAGACTTTTCATAAATTCCACCATCAAGCACATGAAATCTCCTTGATACTATCAAATCTGAATGATTTGAATAAACATTTTATGCCTTTCAAAATAACTTTTACAAAATATTTTCAAAGATGCTAAAGTTCAACTTCGGATATTTGTGAAACACCCCCTGGGCATACAAAGTATACAGTCTTTACAGACCATTAGGGTATTTACTCAGCTATTTGTACAGTGATGTTCTAAACTTCTGATCCAAAAGTAGTAGAGCAACATGTAGTTATCATCATTTCTAATGCATTCTTTTTTGCTCATGAAACAGGAGTGGTTTGCAGTTCTAAGAAACAATATTTACCTGTAGAGTTGAGTGGCCACTGCAATTTAGCATCATCTTCTCCACGATGGTACTACTGGAGAAGATCTTGGTAGGGATGGGAATTGGGGCGTTGGGATCTGGACACGGGAACACCCGGCTGGTCCCGGTCATCCGACTCCCTACAGCACCATAAATAACAATCACAATCAAGTTACAATTATATCCAAGGAAAATTTAAAAGGAAAGTTTCCATAATTGATTTTTATAAATTTATGTCTATGTACAATATTGTTTGTATTATGCACATTTGATCATCCATTGATATTGACAATACAAAGCTTTAAATCATGACAGTGCTTTGAAGAAAAAAAGGTAAAATGATTGCACAGCTACGAACTAAGTAATGAGCTCAGATATTCCTATTTCTTTACGTACAGAGGCCTAATTTAGGCACATTCCTTTGAAATTCCCAGAAGCAAATTCTTGTTGACCTCTTCTATAAGCCTATATTTTTAAATCTTCACTTAAAGTCTGGACCCTGCTTCAGAAAAAGAATTTGGTGCTAGTTTAGAATCATATCCAGACCCATAATTCCGGCATGGAGATACCCTACTAAAAATATGTTTGCATCACCAGTACGCAGATCAGGAACCCCAAAACCTGCAGAGCGCCAAAGCAAAACGTACGCAAAAATGTGGAAGATCCTTTTTTTTGAGGATACATTTTGTCTGGCATACGAGGATATCCTCGTTCATGCGGAAGATCCTCATTCCCGGACCAGCGCCCCTACTGATATCTGGATTTGATTCCGAACTAGCGCCAACAATTTTTCCACATTGAGTTTATGTGACTGCCCTTTCATATTAAAAAAACCATTGAAGTTTTCATTTTCATTTTCAATTCCAAATTTTATTAAAAAAAAATAATGAAAATATGTTTAATATGTGGGATTCAATTGTCAGATATCACATTCACCTTTTTTTTCCAGGGTCTATATGAATATGAATTTAAAATGGCGATGTAAACTGTAAGAATAATATTAACATTCGCCCCATCAAAACTGGCATTCGTCTCAACACGAACAGGCACAGCTGCCCAATTCCCAGTCCCTCACTCACTTGATCATACAAACTCTCCACTCACATTGCACTGCAGCCCACTCGAGCACTCAGCAGAGATCGAGAGGACGCGGAGTCCCTCCACGACTCACGCACACAAATTAATAAAAATAAATAAGATCAGCGTCAATAAAACCTAAATTACATATCAATCCGGAAGCACTGAGCTAAAACATAGATATCAAAGAAACCATAAACATATTATTTTTTCAATAAGATGTATCTCACCTTTATACGACATCTTGAAAGTAGCGAAATCTGACTCTAATTTTGGGTTGATTTTGTGTCGACGGCGTCTTTTCCTCACAGTGTTGCTCACAAAAGGATGTATGGGTGGCGAACATTGGTGGCGCTATATAAAATTAGATTTTTCTCAAACGTTTTGATAATTACATACATAATCTTTCTTTAATGTAATCTTTTATGTGAAATAAAATGTATACAATTTTATTTTAAAATATGTAAAAAAAAATTAAATATCTTTGAAATATCAAAATCTTATGAAAATATGCTTTTTAAATAATATAATCTTTTTCAAGTTGTCAAAAAGTTTGTAAATATAGACTATGCAACGCTATCTGCTGCCACCATTCGGTTTTACGAGAATAGGTAATAAAAATGAGTGGGAATGATGAGCCTTTTCAAAATTGGTTTTACTATAGAGTGTAATGCAGTGGGAAAATAATAAGCATAATTATGTTGTGATGAATCTTCATAAATTTTGTTTGTTCCTGTGCACAAATGGAAAAAGAGAGTATAGAGATGCGTGAAACATATCTCATAATTTTTATTAATAGGCCTTCTCTAATCTTAATTCATTGAAAGTTCTGAAATAATAGCTTTATATTATTTGGTTGAACTTTCGACAGTCATGGAATTTTGGATGCAAAAGAAATCAAAGCAATGTCAATAAGACGAAAAGGAAACATCATAGATTATTCGGGGATGAACCCATCGGGTGAGCAATTGTCTAGCTAGTCACTCTTACTAACGTGAAGAAAAATATATGATTCATGTATATAGATCATCAGATTTTTATTTTAGAGACAACCGGCTTCGCGCAACCTTCCAACTTTTGTCGACCTGGCTGTAGACATGATAGGGGGCCATAAGGTTCAGTCCATTACCGAATAAACAAGTAGACCCTTCTAAGAACATGTAGTGTCGGAGACACTTTCCCTTCTCTGGACATAATCGACATCAGCAGCCACTGAATCGACGATATCACCCCCTTGCCCCCTTGCCTCTGAAAAAATATGATTTAAGCGCCCTCTTTTGTCACTTATAATTATGTTTCGAGATTACTCCATGAGCACTGAAAGACGGTCCCTGGGAGAAGGTATGAAGACCCTGGAATGAATCCAAACATAAAGGGGCATGCGAGATTTATACTTGTTGATATTTGGTAGAGAACAAATTTCAATTTCAATTATTTTTTTTGTCTTCGATGTTTATTATGAACTTTTAAACAAACAGTATAACAATAGATCCTATTTTGTCTGAAGAATAAATGAACATCATTACGCCCTCTGTCGCACCACGGTAGAAAGACTGTGAGGTGGACATTGCCAAAAGTGTAACCAAAAAAAATTATATTTCAATATAACTATAGTAATGACAAGGATATTCGTAAAGTGCTATCTTTACGTTCCAATACTTTTCATAACTGTAATAATTACCAAATTCATATACCCAGTAGCCCAAATGTTGGTAGTTTCGACTTTTCGGGTAGGATGCAGCACGAACCTAAATTTGTACGTCAAACAGGCATGACGCCATTTTAAGCTGTTGTTACATGGGATTGCATGGTTTCTTATCTTTCTGTTTGTCTATCTATATCTATCTTTTCATCTATCTTTCTGTCTGTCTGTCTGCCTGTTTATCCTTAAATCCATCTTCTATCTGTTTATCCATCCATCCATCTATTCATCTCCCTCATCGATCGATATCCACAATATCCATCTATCCGGCAGTCAATCTTTCTGTCTATCCATCTATCTACTTTTTTCTCTCTCACTCTCACTCTCTCTCTCTCTCTCTCTCTCTCTCTCTCTCTCTCTTTCTCTCTCACCCTCACTCTCTCTCTCTCTCTCTCTCTCTCTTTCTCTCTCTCTCCCTCTCTCCCCCCCCCCCCCCCCCTCTCTCTCTCTCTCTCTCTCTCTCTCTCCCTCTCACTTATCTGTACCCAGATCTTTCTTTCATAATTTGAATCTTGAAGCTCCCTCTCGATCATGAAGTCTGTATTAAGTAATTTATTTCCGTAATTATACCATGGTACAATATGACATAAAATTATTATAATGAATAAATAATGTAGACATGTATTTTTAAATCTCTTTATTAGTTCCATCACAAAATCAAACAAATGTCATGATGTCACATAAAGAATCAATTAAAGGCACAATGATACATTCGTACATGCAGTCAATGAACGATATGGAAATTGTTCGGTTTTATAATGAAAGACAAATAACACACATGGACATAATTATGCTTCATAAAGGTTAAAGGTTAACATTACATAAATACATGCTTCGCTTTGTCATATTATGTATACATTATTTACAATGATACTATCTGTTTCAGCAAAGCAGAACATGAGGAATAAACCAAAACTTACAGGAAAAGAATACTTTATATAGGGGCTTTGGCTTTGTCAGTGTGAGAAGTAAATGAGCACACAACGATATACAAGAGCATGATGTTGCATAACAAGAAAATTATCAATTCATGTAATAAAGCCAACTCTGTTATCCTTTTATAATACACTGCACGGGCATATCGCCGTCAAATTGTAATCTTGCTTTTGGTGCCAGAATAAATTGTATACAACGCAGAAATCATTTGTTATAATGCCCCGAAAATACTTCAAATTTTACAACATCACTCCCTGGAGACTTAGTTCTATATTACAGTTTAAACGTCTAATTATCTATATACACATTCTTGGTCATCATGATTAATGATGGTTGTCATTCGTAAAAGATTCTGGTGTGGTTTGTACAGGAAGGTCATTGTACCATACCATGTCTTACTTACACTAATTCTTACAGGTGAAAATAATGTTTGTCGTGTGAAGTTTAGTACACTATACATACTTTGCCAACGTCCCCCTCTCTTTTCTTGTCTCTCCCTTGCTCATTCCCTCTCTCTCTCTCCCCCTATACTTTAGATGCGGCATATACGGAAGCCATATGTATATAATCGAGAAAAAACTATTAAAGTGCCACTGACTTATGGTGTGCTAAATAATCAAGCAAATCACTTGCTGACTTCTTCAACTGTCTTTTGCAGTGTGTGAATTACAGTATAAGATTTGTCAATTGGAACTTGTAACTTTAATGTCCTGCGGTCCTAAAAGCGAAACGTGAAATGGTAAACAAAGCATTCTACACTTCTCTAAAAAACCTAAGTGGACACATTTTGCCGGTCGTGTGAGGCAAGTAATCCTTTTGAATCACATTCACAGTAACGCATTAACTGCAAGCACCATGAATCATGTCGTTGTCATGGCATTGTAACTTTGCTTTTCGTTTTCCAAATATCCGCCAAGAAGATCCGAAATTCTCAAGGGTTACGCGAAATGGTGAAATTCTTTAGAAGATGCTAAAATGATTTATTCCCTGAAAGATCATGTCACGTTTTTTTTTTTTTTTTTACTACGAATGTCTTCTCGTGTTCCTAAACTGAATAAACTCCGCACCAGAAAAGACGATTAAAATGCATTGCTATTAGTAGATATTTTTTTAAAAGTTTATGATAGGCTATAACATATTGATGCAGAGGAGTGGACATTGGATTTCCATTCTTTTATCAGTCATACTTGGGATCAATTCAAATCCATATATAGCGGAATCCACTCCAAAATATAGTGGAATCCACTCCAAAATATAGTGGAATCCACTCCAAAATATAGTGGAATCCACTCTAAAATATAGTAAAATCAACTCGAAAATATAGTGAAATCTACTCTAATGTATGTTTGAATGACTCTTTTTGGAGTGGATTCTACTCTCAATTTTTAGAGTGGATTTCCATGTCACTCGTGTACACTTAGTGAGTAATAGTCCGTCAGTCAGTGATCATGCGCTTCCCTGTATCTGGTCGTTTGTTAGACGGGAGATGAGAACGGGTTCTTCGTGGACGAGTATGGGATGGGCGTCGCTCTTCTCCCAGAAGATGGGGGCCTCGATGAAGACGGCGATCGTTCCGACAACGGCGACTAACAGGAAGACCCAAAGAAGAATACGGTCGATGACTAAGGCCACGAACTTCCAGTCTTCCTCCGACTAAAAGATAGAGAAATCAATGATTAACTTATTTTTATTCTTTGTACGTTTGTAAAATGTGAGCAAATCAAATTTCCAATATTGGACAATAAATTGAAATTGAATTGAATTGAATTGAAACTTAGCAATAAGCGAAGGTTGATCAACTATAATCTGAAGGGAGGGGGGGGGGGAGATCACAGATTTTGAATGAACCCCGTCGCCCCTCTCTTCGGTCTGACGGTAGGGTAAGGAGAGGAAAATCAGAATATTGCCCCGGAAATCCTGCTGACCCTCTTCAGTCTCTAAAGGGGGAGGGAGGGGGGGGGGTTGCATTTTTTTTAAAAAGTTTTCAGGAAAAACAAAATTCCTCTCAATCTTACCTGGTCGACGTCATCCTCATAATTGATGTTGTCTTTGATATACTGAAGAGATGCTAGGAGGGCCTTCCATTCCCTCTCACGAGTTCTCGAGCTCCCTTCGTCTGAATCGTCTGAGTCCGCTCTGAATCGTCGCATCGTGTTGTGCTCGACTTCGCGCCCTTCTATTTCTTCCCGCAGTGATGGCGTGATCGTTCGGAGCTGCATTAGAATAATGATTATAAAAAAAAAATAGCATGCAATTAAATATACAGTTACCTTTGCTTGACGAGATTATTTTACAATAGCGAAATGACTTCGAAAAATATGTTATCAATATTATTGATAGGCTCAACTCTGTCAAGAACATGCAGCTCGAGAAAGAGAATGGGGAAGTCGAAACTAGAACGAGAAAAGAGGAGAAAGAGAGCGAGTAGTGAAGGAGAGAGAAGGGGGCGAGTCAAGAAAGAGAGATACAATTTAATAGAGACAAAGAGATAAAGAGAGAGAGGGGAGAAGGATGGAGAGAGAGAGAGAGAGAGAGAGAGAGAGAGGGGGGGAGAGGGGGGGGGAGAGAGCCGAGGAGAGGGGATAGGGGAAGGGAGGAAAAGGGGTGGTAAATAAGAGAAACTATTTATTTGTAGTAGGACTCTACGGCAAAAAAAAAGTTAGGGGGAGAGTTAGAGAAAGATAGATGATGGGATGTGGGTGCAGAAAAGATTGATAATAATGTAATATTCATGGGTATAGGATGGGGAAAAAAGGTTAAGCGACGGAGAGTAGAAGAAAAGGAAGAAAAGAAACCGGCTGATAGGAATATTACCTCAAGTTTATTGTAGGGTCTTCCATTATACATCCTGTAGTTGCCATTCTGACTGTAGTTCCCCGATCTTTCTTCCCATACCCCTGACGATGAGGAGGGCGAGTACATGTACGGATTGTTGTACTTCCTGATGGCTTCCTTCTGCAGCTTCTTCTTCATCTTCTTCTCCTTCCTCGCCTTCAGTCCATCGGGTCTCTCCATGCAGAAAGCCCGGGGTAAATAGTTCAAGAACCACGTCTTCATCCATGGTGGCATCTCGTGGGTGGTGATGCTGCGGAAGTGGACGTTGATGGTGACGACGGTGGCCAGGATGGACAGGGATACCATGGCCATGGTGAAGAGCATGTACCGACCGATGAGGGGTATGGTCTTTGAGGTTGGCGGGATGAGGTTAGGGATCAAGAGAAGGAACACGATGAGAGCCAGAAGAACGGAGATGGAGAGGGTGATCTTTTCCTGAGCGTCGGAGGGGAGGTAGAAAACCAGCGCGGTCATCAACGAGATCAGCACACAGGGGATCACCAAGGTAATGATATAAAACAACGGATTCCGATGCAGAACTAACGTGTAGGTAACATCGATGTAGATCTCCACGCAGCAGGGGTACTTGAGGGCGGACCTGACAGCGGGTGCATCGACGATCTCCCACTCGCCGTTCGCGCGGTAGTTCTCTCGCTCGACGTTGGAATTCAACGCGATCAGGTCGACGACGTCACCGGCGTAAGTCCAGGATCCGAATTTCATGATGCAACGCTGCTCGTCGAACGGGAAGTACTCAATGTCAATGCTGCAGGAGCTGCGGAAAATAGCGGGAGGTTTCCAAGTGACTGAGCCATCGTAGAAAATCGTGGCACTGTTCATCACCTCCACAGCATATGCTCCTTCAGCTCTGCAAGAAGATACAAGAAGTAATAAATATATTACATGATTTTTCGCTTCTTCAATTCATATTGCTTCATTCTCATTATATAAGGCTGCTTTTTAATTAGAAGGTGCAACATTTTGAGGGTTTTGTAAGTCTGGACACAGAAAACAAAAAATACATAAAAGATCATATAGCATTAGCAAGTCAAGCTATCAAACTGATGTCTACACATTCTATGGAAGGGCAAAGGGGGCTGGAAGGGCACTGGGGCATAGTGGAAGACACTACTAATAAAAAATTCTTCTTTCAAGTCGATTTCTGGGACTTCAATCGTAGGGGCGTTCGCCGGCTCCGATCTATGTTGGTTACAGTCAGACTTTTGACGATTTTGACGAAGGACGGTTTTCGGAGAGTTATAACATTTTTTAATTTTTTTTTTTTTTTTTTTTTTGGGGGGGGGGGTTAAATCGGCAGGGGGGCGTTACGATTGTGTCCGCTGACTTCGCCGAGTTTAGTTAGATACGCCACAGGAGACGATGTATTGTCTTTGGTTGGACAGAGTAACTTACGTGTTATAGAGAACCAAGTCTGGTGCCCATAATCGTTGGATTGGGAAATGGATGTAGGTAATGCCACCATAGTCCTCGGGTTTCCATACGAGTCTGTAATCCGTCCATTGCTGTACGAAAACATGGTAATATAAATAATGGTTACAGCATCATCAACATTAACAACAACAATAAAAGTAATGTTAATGTAATAATAATTATAATACTATAATAATGATAATGTTCATACTACTACTATATTACTACTACTACTACTACTACTACTACTACTACTACTACTACTACTACTACAACTACTACTACTACTACTACTACTACTACTACTACTACTACTACTACTATACTACTACTACTACTACTACTTCTACTACTACTACTACTACTACTACTACTACAACTACTACTACTACTATAATATTACTACTACTACTACTACTACTACTACTACTACTACAACAACAATAACTACTACTACTACTACTACTACTACTACTACTACTACTATACTACTACTACTGTATACTATTACTACTACTACTACTACTACTACTACTACTACTACAACTACAACAACAACAACTACTACTACTACTACAACTACTAATACTAATAATACAAATAATAATGATGATGATGATAATATAATGATAATAAAAAAAATAATGATAATAATAATAATAACAACAACAACAATTGGTTTATTTTCCAAGGAAAATGGGGCCAATTTACTTTATATGTGCTACAAGGAGATGAATAATAATAAAAGATGGGGGGGTCAAAGAAAGGTACCTATAAACAATTGATTAATTGCCAGGATCACTGCGTAATTCGTCAAAGGAGCTAAATACAGGAAATGTAGTAAATCAATTTTTATAGTGTGTTGACATAAAAAGTGTTTATAATACCGCTATTCGGGCCTAATGAAATGGGCTAGAGAGCGACGTAAAATTGTGATCTATTTCCGATGATATACGTCTCGCGAAAATTAAAGATGACGTCGAGTACTGGTGAAATAATTGTAATGTGAAAGAATGGGTCTTTAGTTGATTCTAAATTTCTTGTTTTTTGAATTATGTATTGTAATATTTTGGAATTGTCAAAATAACAAAGACTTTACTAATTGTTGCTGAAAATCACAAATAACTGACATGAAAATACTGATACACTGGGCTACCTCAAGAAGTGGCCAAAGAATATCTAGATCAGTTTTTTTTTCATAGGATATTGCTATTATGACAGGTATGATATTATTCAATATGGTAATAAAGAGAATGAGAAATATCAAAATTATTCCTCACGTTCACAAGAACTCCACCTTCTCTTTAAATCAAATTCTTACTCTTCTTTACATAAAGGTCCAAAATGGCAAAGTAATTATTATATGCATGCGTATAGATTTTAACAAGGACTTTTGATTTACTTACCTGTTTAAGCCAGATACTAGTGACCATGATCTGGTTCTTTTCATCCTGTAAAAATAATGAATAATAAACATAGTAGCAACACAAACATACTAAAAATTCAAATCTTAGGTATGATTACACCTTACAAATGATAAAATGGAAGATTAGATGCAACCAGGGGCGATGATTATATTTCTGTCCTAAAACGTAAAAACCGGTATCTAAAGAATGAATACAAGACTGCCGAAAGTAAATTCTGAATTTTGTGACTGGAAATCTATGATCTGATGGTTTTAGGCAAATTTCTAGCCAGCAAAAGAGGATACATTGCATCTAAATTTGACAACACCGCTCCTCATCCTATACCGAAGCTCCCAAAACTAAATCAAATCTTATGAACAAAAATAAAAATCGATACTCGGACTACGGCATTGCAAGACGAGAGTAACTGTCTTAGAATAAAAAAAATCCCATCAAAAAAGAGATAATACCACCCAAATGATAACATTCGACACCCCATCCACCCCCCCCCCCCCCCCCTTTATTGAGCGACACTCCTGTGTTTGTGCTGTCAAACACAGATGACGAAAGTTAACACACTTCTGGCTTTCATAAGAGGAATGCGATCCCATACTCACGATGTCGACAAGTTGTGATAGGGCTAGGCCGATAAATACATCCAGGATATCGGAGTCGTTAGCTACTGGCCGAATCAGAGGGTTGTATTTTGTCATCAGTTTCTCAAACAGTGCTTCGGCAGATTCAGAGCACTGGGCCTCTGTAGATGTAAACACAAAATAATGAGAAAGGTGTGAAAATGGACGAATAAATACATGGTGTAATTATTATGAAGAAATTTAATTTACAAGCGAGATGGTGTAGAGAGAGAGAAGAAGAAGAAGAAGAAGAAGAAGAAGAAGAAGAAGAAGAAGAAAAAGAAGAAGAAGAAGAAGGAGAAGAAGAAGGAGGAGGGGCCCTCCCCTCCTCCTTCTTCTTCTCCTTCTGAGGTAGAAGAAGAAGCAGAAGAAGAAGAAGAAGAAGAAGAAGAAGAAGAAGAAGAAGAAGAAGGAGGAGGAGGAGGAGGAAAAAGAAGAAGGGGAAGGAGGAGGAGATGAGGGGGAAAAGGAGAAGAAGGTGATGATGATTATGATAATGATGAAGATAATGATAAAGTGACAGCCCGTGGTAGACTTATTGACAACTTATCTAGAGTATACGAAACCGACAATGTAGGTCACGTAGGCTGTCGGTCTATGTACAGTGATGTCCCGATGCAAGCTTGTCACAGCTATATCTGACATATTAATGACATCACACACATGATCTGAATCGTACAGTCATAATCTAGTTTTCTTCATGCTTATCTAACCAGCAAAGTAGTACCCCGTGTAATCCGATCAGTGAGTACTTTGACTCGGTTGCACTTACAGATTAGCCTATGTCTAAGAATAGGATAAGATCCTATACATAGAGAAGAAAATGAGAACGGGGTGGGGGGGGGGGGGGGGGTGGGGTGGACCGGTCTTAATATTTTTTTTAATCCAGCTATTGATACTCATTATTACATTGATTAAAGGAGAAAATGGCCTTTAGTAGGCCATTTTGACAAGTAGTCATTTTCATGTCGATACTAGAGACAAAAACAACAGTAGGTTGTGGAAATGAATTTGGATTTGTTACCATTTTCTAAGGGCAGACCTATTGAAATATAGTCTACAGTGGAAATATATCAACAATTTTTTTTTCAATTTCAGGAATAGACATTTGAAAACATTTTCATGCCGTTTTACAACCGCTTCTACCAATTAACTTATTCCACCAAATATCATCATCCGTCTATTTTTCATTAATCATAAAGTCAGAATGGCACTTTTTAATGATGTGTTGTTGTTTTTCTGGGAAAGTGCTGGTCCGGTGATTATGTGGATAATGTTATTTATCTGTCTATCGAACGCTTGGCCGCATCATGAGGCCGCCATCCTTGTCAAGCATCGCTTATGATTGCGGTCTCCTGCACTTTTTCCACAGATAGTTCGGATAATACTTTAAATTTATAACAATATGTTATAGAAATATATTTATTTTCGTCATTATATGTGAATATGTATATCTAAACAAAATCTTGACATGAAATTATTATTGTTTGTATATGTTGTATTATACCTTATGTTTATGTGTTATTTGTTATTCAGTTATTGAGTTTGGAAAAATGCAGAAATAAAATAAAATCATAAGATCGAATGTTCATTCCCCATAATTATGAATCATGCTTATTGTTACCAAGGCAACTCCATTAAACTTGCTGTATAAACCATGAATAGTTTCATTCACTTGTGACAGCCTTCGTTTCTTCACAATCGTAATTAATTTCAGTAAGGAGACGTTGATTATGGTTACATTATGGGTACATGGGGGGGGGGGCTTACCTAATTACCCCAATATCTATCAAATAGAGCCATATTCTTCGGTAATAAATATAGAGGAATATAAGTAATAACTTGAAATATGTATTTTTTTTCTTCAAATCTATCATGATTGCTATTAATCAAGCTCAGATTGCTTGCAGTAAAATAAAAATACAATGTACATTTAAAAGTTATAACAAAGATTAAGACAGGAAGAAAATTAAAATATAAGTGAATATTATTTATAAGCTTCGCAAGCTCGCCTACTCAATATGCTCTCAAAGATGGCTATGTTGTATACACGGTCATTATAGTCATATTCATTGGTTGATTTTATGACCCTAATATGGTTACGTCATCATAATTGTTTAGCTACACTACCAATTATGATAAACAGTCGGGAATATTATTGTCTTTTAGAAAATCGATATCGATCTTTCATTATAATCTTTGATTAAAAGGCAAAAAGGTCATCGACGTTCGATGTATACTTTTTGACCCGTGTGTCATATTGACTAATAGCAGTGGTATATAATTATGAAACGACGGTAAGTTGATTAAAGCACGCCATTTCCAAGTACACTGTAAAAGCCTAATGGCTATTGATGCTTCGAACTTCAAATTTCGGAGATTGCGATTGTAAAGCTCTTTTCGGCGCTCATTTCTAAATGAAGTTAATAATTGTTGAGGGTGATTTCTCATATTAGGCCTATCTAACGTTAGATTATCCCTCATGCTATGTTCACTCATATCCATTGCACGGGACGTTCAATACAGGAGTATACATTCGTTTTGCCCTTGCTTTAGCTGTTAAGGTATCCGAAAACGCTAGAATCATTAAAGGAAAAAAATTGTCTCAGGCACTCGCTTAGTTCACCTGGGCATAGAGTAGTAAATATATATTAATGATTTCCAAAGGACAGTGGAGTCATGGCAGGTTAGATTCGAGCTTAGACCAGTTCGACATATCACCATCCTTATAAATGACATGGATATGTTTATAGCCCTCGTGTATCGGACAGATATACTACCTCAGTATTTCTGTATATAGTGTAAAACCATTCAACTCACGTTTTGTCGACGCTATTGCAGACAACGTTACGTTTTTCATCTTTCACCCATTTTCATCCTCGCAATTAATATAATGAATACGATGGGTGTTCATTCATAAAATTGCATTTCATAAAACCAGACTCCACTTGCATCAAGTAACCTTGGTTTATTAGGCCAAAACATCAACCGTGTGTCATTATCGATCTCGGTCTCAATCCGAGCGGTCATTCCGAGCGGGCGATGGGAACGTACTATGTAGCAGATCAATACTCGTGCATTTCACTATGCTACATTTCTACATAATTAATTTATTCCACCTCAAATTAATATAAACCCATGTACAATGCATGTACTTCATTATCTATGCTTTTGTGACAGTCATACACACAAATAGGAGGGGAGTATGAAACTTTGTTAGAGGCATTCCGTAGATGCCCGAAGATTCACGAAATTCAATGTCCATTTGTTCACAACGAACTATTCCGAAGATGGGCGAGACCGAAGATCAACTAGAACTAAGGTTCACATCACCAAATTTTCCTTCGGTCTCGTGGGCCTTCGGTTAAATTCGGCTATATAGCCATACGTTTAGCATGTTTAGAATATTCAATATATTTTTCTAAATCCTATCTTATATTTTAATCATATTTGTACGAGGTTGTCACGTCGTCTGCCACCTAACGCATTGGATGCAGAAGGCTGTCATTATGGTTCAAGGTAAAACATCGATGTTTACGAGAAACATGATTTTAGATCATCCTTAATTTTTGCACCAATCTATTACAGCGAATTACACCCCGGAGATCGAAAGCCTTTGCTAATTAGCTCAGGCTAATGTGCCACAAGCAAATAACTTGATAATTTGACATGTTTGTGGGAAGGGCCTTCTACTTAATTTTCACTGACGTTGTGGACTTGAACAACCTTTAAAATCAGCTGTTCTAATTAGTTAATGAAGTACATTTTGATATTTTTTCCAATTATATAAAAAAAAAAATGTCTTTGATGAAATAGAATGTAAAAAACAAAAACATAATCAACATCGTAAGGGCCACAGTGAGGAACAAGATTATAAAATTGATTGACAATGCAGATTTAGTGCAACTAATTTATTCGCTTATAGTGACAGACATTCTTATCTGGGGAAGAACTTCTGTTCTAATCGTCCTAAGTAATGTTTTCTAAGAAAATGATAAATTCGGAATTCCCTTTAAAGGTGTGAGGGGGAGATGCAGAAATAAAATAAAATCGAATCAAATGAAATCAAATACAATCAAATAAAATCAAGTATGAGCAGACGTTTGTTGTCCTCCTATGTCCTTCAAACAGGGGGCATACACAGGCTTCATGCTATTTTATTATTCTATTCGACTGTCTTCTACGCCAACCCGCATGGATGTGTGACAAGACGGCATCGAAAGGGGAATCCTTACAAATGATTTTTAACCAAGGCTCATCCCGATATGCTTCAACACAGCGTGTAATTAAAGTATAGTCCCATATTTATTGTGTTGTCAGTGTGCATCATAACACAGTATAACCGAGAACATGTGTTTAGGATGACCGATATATTTTTTACAGCTGCTGGACAACCCATGACCAACGTCATAATTTTTGTTTTACAGCGGGAGTGTTCCTTTAATTAAACGGGAAATAAACAGACTGTCATTTTGGACATAAACACTTGTTCCAAACACTGCCCATCTCGATCCCTCAAACTCTACACGCTGGGAACCGAGCTTAATAGCTATGAGTTAAATGAAATCAATATGGCTTTCAAATAAACCATAATGCAAAGTAGTCAATTCTACATGTACGTCAAACAGTTTCTATCAAAATTATAATTCATTTGGTTGTAAAATGTCGAAAGGGGGAGGAATATTCAACAGTGTCTGTTTTTCGTTTTTATTTCTTTATTCTTCTTTGCTCTATTTGTTTGCTTTGAATGTTTTGCATTCTTTTGCTCATTTGCTTAATTTGTTTCTTTTGCATTTCAATAGTTTTATTGCGTAACTGAACTTCAAGCCAAAATACAGAACTAAACAAAAGGTAATTATGTATCAGTCTATATCTTATGCAGCTTGATACATCAATTTCTTGATATGGATTAGATATGAATTTATATTCATATGGATAGATTTGTATAATGAATGTGCCCTGAAATCCATAATTTTCAGACGAATTACCTTCACAAGGCCTAACACATCGATAATACTTAATCATCGATATGTTTTGGGGTGAGTTTAAGCCTTTGTCAAGCACTTGTTAAAGATATGCAATTAATTACTGTATTGATCGTTTAGCAGGCCTACTTGGAAAG